TCTTTCCTCTTATTCAGGTCATCCCTTATTTCTTCTAGCAGTTTGTAGTAGTTTTCTTCAATTAAAGCACTGTTTCTGTTTGTCATTATTATACCTAGGTACTTTATCTTTTTGACTATCTCCATCGAAGTTATCTCATGCAGTTGTTGCTTGGTAGCTGCATCACAGTTCTTTGTTAGTAGTTTTGTTTTTTTGTAATTTATTCTCAGGCCCGCCACCTTCCCATATTCTTGAAGGAGTTTTAGAAGTTCTTGACTAGATTCTTTTGGGTCTTCTAATATGAACAATAGATCATCGGCGAAGGCCAGCAGTTTGTATTCCTGGCCTTTTATTTTCAAACCTTTAATGTTTTCATTTTGTCTTATTAGGTCATTAAGTGTCTCTAGCGCAAAGATAAACAGTAAAGGCGACAGGGGGCAGCCTTGTCTTGAGCCTTTTTGAATTTCGATGCTTCGAGTTAGGTCCCCATTTATTATCTGGGCATGTTGTTTTTCATATATTGCTTTGATCATCTTTCTAAACTTATCGCCACACTCCGTTGACTCTAGTTTTTGCAAAAGGAAGGACCATGATAGATTATCGAAGGCCTTTTCTGCGTCTAGACACATTAATGCTAGTTGTTTCCCTGGTTGGAGTTCATAATACTCTAACACATTAATGACCGTTCTTATATTGTTTTTCATTGATCTTTTGGGTAGAAACCCTGATTGGTCATGATGGATTGTTTGTGTTAAGACTCTTTTCAATCTGGTAGCCAGGATGGTTGCAAATATTTTATAATCTATGTTCAAAAGTGATATGGGTCTATAATTTTTTATCTGGTTCTTCTCCGTCTCTACTTTTAGGTATTAGTGCTATGGCTGCCTGGTTCCATGAGTCGGGTACTTTCCCTAGATCCTCTACATTCTGGATCACCATCTTCAGTGGAGATAGCAGTTGTTCTTCAAACACTTTAAAGAATTCCGCCGGTATGCCATCTGGGCCCGGTGGTAGTGATCTTGATTGTCTGGAGATCCATTGTAATAGCGGGAGATAGCGGGAGATAGGGTTGCCGGCTCCGGGTTGGTAAATAGCTGGAGATTTTGGGGGTGGAACCTGAGGAGGGCGGGGTTTGGGGAAGGGAGGGACCCCAGCAGGGTCTAAGCGGCCATTTCCTGATCCTTTTGTGTATGTTTGCTTGTAAAATCCCCAGCACGGCATTAGGAATGTGGTTGCGAGATTACTTGAGAAATACAGTAGCAGCAAACCCATCCTCATCAGGTATCTCGTTTGTGTCCTTTGGAATGGGAGGAGGGGGGTCCCAAATGTGGTTTTCCTTGGCGGGAAGGTGTGATGGAAGACAACACAGGAGAGAGGCCTGTGGAGAGGATAGATTTGTGTGTAGATCCATGGCCTCATTAGGGGCTCGCTCCAATTACCAGGATTTGTGTCCTTTGCCTTCTTGTGTCAACAGTGTATCGGTCGCAGCAGGGATCCCGCCTAATCTTTCCCTTCCTGTTTCTTTTTAGATCTTGAGTCGGGGATATTGGGTGCGAGTGCCGTGGCCTGGGGGCTAGCCCCCCCCCCCCCCGCATCTTAATTTGGATTAAAGCGGATCTCTCCAGGAGGATTATCGGCAGAGGGACCTTCATTTTTCCCATTTCTTTCGGAAACTTTCCTTGCTGAAGTACCCCGAAGTCCTGTCCCACAGTCATGTGGCCTCTACAGCTGTTCTTCCTCACAATGCTCTTGGCGCCAACGATCCACGGTAGGTGGCATGGAAGGACGTGGAGCTTTATCCATCTCTGCTTGCTCCCCCCCCCCTCCGGCGGTAGAAATAGGACCCAACACAACGTTTTATTTTTCAATGACTGTGCATCTCCCACTAATTTGCAGCTCTGAGCAAAAGGGTATGGATTATACTGGAAACGGGGCATGTCAGATCATTTTAAAAAGGGAAAAAAACACATAGTAACAAATGCAGGATCCATAAACTCGCTAGCCAGGGGCAAGCGCTCTTGGCCAATGTATAAAGGCAAAGAAATTGACGTTCTTTCAAGCATTCTGAACATGGGGAAAGGCTCTGGGAAGCGGGGTGGGGGGGGGGTTGGTGGTGATCACAAATGATTCCTGGAAAGTGAGCCAAGCCCAGAGCTGTGGGTCGCTGGATCAGCAGCATGAGATTTAGACTGAGGCTACCTTGTGTGGAATCATGGGTCATTCAGATGTGCATTTGGCCACGGCCTCCAAAGGGGGTGCTGAGAAAAATCAGGATCAGCAGACATGTTTAAGTTATTGAGTTAATTCACATGTTCAGAACAATGGACTCCACCCCATCCCCCCAGGGCCAAATAGGGACGCAGGATTCTTATCTCACTATGGAGGATAATTTTCTGCCCCGAAGCCTTTCCCCTCTGCTCTAAACAAGCTGATTGCAATGTGGATGGCACCTCTGCATCCTTTAAAACATTCCTTACAACACCCCTCCTGCCTTCTGGCTGGGATAAAAAGACTCGGAGTTCTCCATTCCTATTCATGGCTGAGGAAGGGAGCTTTGACTCTTGGAAGCTTACCCACTAAAACTCTTGTTGGTCTCTCAGGTGCTACTGGACTTGAATGCAACTGTTTAAATTATGTAAACAGAGTAAGTTTGCACCCGCTTGTTGATTCTGCATCAAACTATTCTGTTTGTTTTTTTTAATGCAATTTTGTTTCATCTTCTTATGGTTGGACCTTTTATTCAGTCAAGGGAAAGGGCATTGGTGGATAGTGCAGCCCTGACCACTGCATGGTGGGGCTTTGGCTCTGAGGTAGAGCATCTGCTTGGCATGCAGAAGGTCCCAGGTTCAATCCCCAGCATCTCCAGTTAAAAGGATCAGGTGATACAAAAGACCTCTCCCCGAGACCCTGGAGAGCTGCTGCCAGTCTGAGTGGACAATACTGACCCCAACAGAGTGGTCTGATTCAGTTTCAGGCACCTTCATATGTGTTCATGTGCTTTTGCAAGCATGACAGGTAGCTTGGTTTTGTTTTGTTACAAAAAAATGAAATCTCAGAAGGCCAAATAAGGCACCTGGTGCCATTTCTGTACTTTTCCATGGGAAGATTTCCGAATGCACAAAAGCTCTCAAGAAACGTTTTGTGGATTTTCGTAAAGTAACCATCATAGCAGTAAGAACTATCGTGATGTTCTTTTGAAATGTAAAAGAGGGAAATTCAGGATTTCACCGTACTCCAGATCAGTATTTTTTTTTGGGGGGGGGGATCAGCTGTATATTATGAACCTTTACGGAAGCAGAATGTTTCCTGTCTTCTTCTGGTGGGTAGGTCCCAGAAGATGATGCTGGGGTCTCATTGCTCCAGTTATGTGCAGGATCCTGGTATTTCCATTAACCAACATATGGTGCTCTGGGGAAAGCTCAGTCTGGGTTCAGAGACCGGTTGTTTGGCAACTGTGCACTGTTAGTCTTCCCTGAATTCAAAGGAATTGCCGATCTCGTGTGTATTTGCATAGCCATCACCTCTTCAGTGAGGCTAGGAACACTCAACAAGTAAAACTATTGTATGGTTGCTTCTGTTTAACATGCAGAAGGCAGGCTTTCAAATAATATGTAATTCTTTTCCACATTGGCTTAAATAAAAACTACATTAATTGCCGAGAGTGAGATTTATGGCAGGCACGTCCCATTCTATTGAGAGAGAACATTTTCTAGCATTAAGCGAAGAGCTTTTCTCCCCATTGATCACAAATCATCAACACTGGAGCACTTCCATTGTTACACAACTGCACAGGGCTATAGATGGGTTTTCAAAATTGGACTACGTGATTGTTGTGGATGGTGAAGCTATCAATGGTCACGTGTAATGTTTACCCTCAGCCTCCTGGGAGTGAGAGGGGGGTCGTCTTGTGGGGACCAAGACCTTCTCCCCAAAGCCCCTTATCTCTCCACACATTCACAGTCCCATCTCCTGTCACTTTTGCCCCACCTCACTCAGCTAGGGGCGGTGTTTACCACAGCAGCCCTTTGTGACCCCCCCAGAAGGTATTGCCAGGAGTTGCTGGAACCCCGTGGACAAAATGCCACAATTAGGTGCAGGGGCTGCAGTTTGGTGAAGTGGTCACTTCTCCCTGTTCCACCGGTGGGACTTCCCGGGCACAGCTGGCAGCCCTGACCTGGACAGCCCAGGCAAGCCCGATCTCGTCAGATCCCGGAAGCTAAGCAGGGTCGACTCTGGCAAGTCCTTGGATGGGAGGCCTCCTTGGAACACCAGCAGTCTGGAGGACAGGGGCAGGCTTGATTCAGCCACCTCTCTGAATATCGTCCAGGCCCCCCAGTGGGGGTCAGTCACCAGAGGTCGCTGTAACTTCCAGGTGTGCACCCACTCACACATGCACATATTACAATACCAAAAAGAGAGAGAGAGAAGAAACTCTGCTGGTAGAAGTAGGGCTGCCAAGTCCCCCCGGGGGGCGGAAATCCCCCCGCCCCAGAGGCCCGTTCCTTGACGCCGGGGAATTGGGCCCCGGGGGGAACCCCGCCCCAGCATACACGTCACAGAGAAGTGATGTTATGACGCTGGGCACGCTGGGGGCGGGGCCACGGCCATACAAGGGAAAACTCTATGCAAAGCGTGTGCGCACACACACACCGGGAGCCACCCCAGAGTCTCCCGCCGGCAAGGTAAGTTGGACTTGGCAACCCTAGGTAGAAGATGGAGGGGAAGGGCAATTTTGCCCAATTCTCCAGTTGTCCTGGGAATGGGGCAGTCCTTACTCTTGGGAATAGGCTCCTCCCTCTGGAACAAGGTCGGTTTCCTCAGATCAATCCAGGAAGGGGAGGGGCCTATCCCCTGGGAACATCGCAGTCTTACTGGCCTTGTTGCTTGAGCAGGACGTGTTTCACAGGCACTCTGTAGAGCACAGTGATCCAGGAATGAGAAGAAGAGAGGGAGAAGGGAGAGACCCTCCCTCTTCATTATTTTGAGCTGCAGTTGGTGGCAAACCACAAATGAAGCCGGTGGCACTGGGAGATCCCCAGCAGCCAAGGCTGTGTACGCAGACTCCCACCGGGACCAGCCTGTGGCTGGAGGTCGCCTCCCCAACCAATGCACATCAGGGGAAGCGTCTGAGTCTGCAAGGAGACTGCGGCGGCGCTGCAGACCCAGCAAACTCCCCGGTCTCAGAGGACCCGGCATGCGGTGGAACAGAGAAGCCGGGAGCCTCTAGCCCTCGCCAGAATCATGGTAAGCCCTTACGAGGCCAAAAAACCTAGACTGGAGGCGAAGGAGGGCAGGGTGGTAGACTGGGGAAAACCCCCAAGCAACCCCCTGAGCTATTCAGGGAGGATGAAGAGGAAATTATTTCCTGGGGCTTCCAACCTCCCCAACCTGGGACAGGCTGGAGTGGATTAAAGAGCCTCCCCCCCCTCCTTTTTCCCCTTCAGAGAGAAAGTTCCCATGGAACAGACAGGGAGCTAGAAGGCCCAGGGAAGGCCATAGAAGGACCGGGGAAAGGGTGGTGGCCATCTTGGTTCTCTGGAGCCTCATGGCAGACTTACTTTCACTTTCACTCCCAGGCAAGCAAACAGAAAATGGCTGCCAGTCAGACCTTCCAGTTCCCACAGAAAATGGCTGCCAGTCGGACCTGCCAGTTCCCTGTTCCCAGAGCTGAATAGCCCAAGCTAGTTTCATTTGTTGAGGTCTCAGAAGCCAAGCAGAGTCAGCCCTGGTGGTTGAGCGGGTTCATCAGCCAGCATAAAAGACTGTGTTTTTTAAAGCTCCACAATACAACCAGATAATCCCTACTAAAGAGGACCATCTGTAGCAAGTAATGGGAAATCATCAATGATGAGGCCAGGCGGCCTTCCCTTGGGAGAGGATGCCAACACCTTCTCCTATAGAGAAGACCCTGTCATAGCCACCCAATAGACTTCAGGTGACGGAGAAGGCCCTCTAATGATGACCATTTTGTTAGATCGCGCTAACAAAGGACTCTTAGAGTGATTCAGCAAGTGATTCAGCTTTATTGGAAGTAACGAACAAGCACTCAACTCAGTAAGAAACCAGAACAGAAAACAGTGGGAGCTTATGCTCCTTTTAAACATAACCGGGCTAATGTAGCCACGCCTATTTACATTTAACAACCAATGAGATTGCTAGGATAAAGGCCAATGGGAGTCTTTCCCTCCTAGGGAATGGTATCGTTCTGATTGGTCGCTGTTACGAAGCGACCAATAGGAAGTTCGCTCAGAGGAGCCCTGGTCTGGCTTGAAGCTTAACATTGAATGTAAATGGGCCGATTCAAGTGAGGATTCCGATACATTACAATTCCTCCCCCCTAAGTTAAGACAACACCATCGTTTAAAATATTTACAGTTGATCGATAATACATACATTAGTCAAAACCAAATACTTTATTGCAGTCATAATCAGCCAGGTACGATGGCGCTCGCCGCTCACGCTGAGACCTGCGGGGCTGTGCAGGCTCAGAGGGTAAGTTCTGCTGGGTGTCAGCCCTAGGTTCTGCGCAACCTGTATCAGGCTCACTTACGTCTGGGTTAGTGGTTCCGAGGCCAGGGGTATGCCCTGTCATCGGGACAGTACTAGGTAGGCCCGTACTCACCTCCATGTCGGGAGGTCTGAAATCAAAGTCTGAGGACTCGGCCGTTGGAGAGTCGGCGCTGTCCTTCGCCCAACGTCTCTTAAGCTGGTCTATGTGGCGCCGCCACTTTCGACCATCGGCCAGCTGTACCACATACATGCGAGTGC